GGAGGATTGCAAGTTCCAGGTCAGCCTCAGCAAGTTAGCGAAGCCCTAAGCAGTTTAGCAAGACCTTGTTGCAACATTAAAAAGCAAAAAGGATTGAGGATGTGGCTCGGTGGTTAACTACCCCTGGATTAAATCCCCAGTACAAAAAAAAGACAAAAGAAAGAAAAGGTGATACAAGTGTCTGAAAATATATTTGTTCCATTGGCTCAAATTTGACTGTATGAGAACTGTCCCTTTCTCATTGTGACTAGTGAATAAAGAGGAGGAGTCCCCTTGCTGACTGCCAACCCCTGCCCCCAAGTTAAGTGCCCACGCAGTGGGGCAGGGAGCTTTGCTCATAGGGCCCTCAGTTTGTTCTTTGTCACTACTAATGTCAACAAGTGTTTGCCAGTCAATACCGCGAAGCAAAAATTAATCCTCTACTTCAGTTTCTTTTTCTAAAATATGACTTTGTCACCAGGAATCGAAGGCTCTACTGCTCATCACCCACTAAAGCTCAGGAGACAGAGGTTGGTGAAAGAAAAGAGGTTTATTCAAACAAAGCCCTTCTTGGGGAAGATGGCAACATTTTCTGTCTCAAATCTCCATCTTCAAGGGGCTCAAGGGTGTGAACAGCTTTCATAAGTGGAGAGGGGACAGAGTGGGACAAAAGGCAGGAAATATACATATGTAGATTTAGGTAGTCTGTGCTGGTCCGAATCATGTCACTGTCTCAGTTTCCCTGGCATCTGCTGGGGGCCAGGGGGTGCCTTCTCAGTTTCCATTCTCAGCATGAGGAAGCTCTGCGTGCTGAAAAGCAGTTATCAGGAAGTTGGGAAGCAGCTTTGAATGACAAAGGGGCTCTGTTCCAATTTTACTGCTGGATACGTCAGAGTGCCATGAGCCACCCCATCACACATGGTGCACGAAGGCCAGGAGCTGATTCCTACAGCATCATGCTGCAACTCAGTTCTGACACCAAATACCCAGAGTTAGTGCAGACTCCACACGTTCAAGTCCTGGTCCCCCAAAAGAGTGTACTCACTTTGGACACCAGCTTTCATTTTAGGTATCCCTTGTACTTCTGACCAACTGGCTGTAAAATCAGGAGTTGTCACCAAATACCCCCTCAATTTTGATGAGCAGCTAGAGTAACTCACAGACAGGAAAGCACATTTATTTACCTCACAGTTTATGAAACAGAATACAAATCAGGACCAGCTAAAAGAAGAGGCAGTCCTGAGTATGCAGCTCATGTTTGCTCCTCATGGTATCGGGCTGAGCACCCTTTTCAACTACCAATATGTTCACCAACCTGGAAACGCACTTGAATTTCAGTGTTGAAACTACAAAGCTTCTGCACAGCAAAGGAAACAATCAACAAAGTGAAAAGGCAGCCTAAAGAATTGGAGAGATATTTGTGACCCCATACATCAGATCAGGGATGAGTAGGCTACATACTCAAGGAACTTGATAGCAAGAAAATAAATGACCCGATTTAAAGACAGACAAAGGACTCGAAAAAAAGACATACAAATGGCAATAGGTATGTGAGAAAAGGTTAACATAAGTAATCGTCACAATGAGGTAAAAACTACAATGAGATATCACCTACCTACCACCTTTTAGGACAGTTATTATGAAAAGACAAGAGGTAAGAGATGGTCAACAGGCTGTGGAGGAATGTACACCCTTGGGAGGAATGTACATTAGCATAGCCATTATGGAAAACTGTTTTAATATTTTGAGGTTCCTCAAAATATTAAAAATAGAACTGCAAGATGCTTTGGCAGTTTTACTTTTGGATAAATAGCCAAAGGAAATGAAATCAGGTTAAGAGATATCTGTATGATAATGTTCACAAGAGGTAAAATATGGAATCAATCTAAGTGTCCATCAGCGGTTGAATGGATAAAGAAAACGGGGTATGTATATAATAGAATGCTAATCAGCCTTAAATGAGGGAATATCCTCTGATTTGTTACAACATGGATGAACCTGAAGGACATTATGTGGAGTGAATAAGCCAGCACAAAAGACGAATACGTATGTTCTCACTGTTGGAATGGAAAAGTCATGCTCAGAGAATTTAGAATGGTGGTAACCAGGAGACCCAGGGCCTGGGGAATGTTGATCAAAGGATACAAAATTCCTGTTAGACAGGAGGAATAAATTCAGGAGATCTATTGTGTAACATGGTGACTATAGGGAATAACAATGTATCACATATTGGAAAACTGCAGAAAGAGTTGATTTTAAATGTTCTAATCACACAAAGTTTGTAAGGTAACACATATTTTAATTAACTTGAAATCATCTCCCAATGTATACATATGTCAAAATGGATGTGGCACATTATAAACATGTACAGTTTTTATTTGACATCTAAAAAAAAGAAAATATCTTTAAATAATTCATTCATTTCTACTTTTGTATGACTTTGAATTCAGTAAATTATTTTCAGAGAATTAAAAAAAATGGTAATCATCATTTGTACTGAGCATACACAAAAGAGTGTGACTCTGAGATTACATTATGATTTTGGGCTCTTCTTTGTTTTGATAGTTGATAATGTTTACTGAATATTTGCTGTTTCCCACTCATTGATCACAGCTCTCTATGTGTCTTTCATTCTCCTGGCAAATCTATATGATTAGATACCTATTGGCCCCACTGTATGCACAAGGAAAGAAGACAAAGAGACATTGTGTCCAAAGTAACTTGTACAAAGCCACAAAATTGATAAGAAGCAGAGCTGGGATTTACACTGAGAAAGTGTTCTTTCAAAGCCTGTGCTTCTTACCTTATACTACACCACTTGCAGCAAGAAAAACATCAGCTTTGCATTGGAAAGTTTATGGTAAAACTCAGTTGGTTTACCATAAGAGCAATTCTTCTTTATTTGAAAAATGATACACAAACATCAATGGTTTAATGCCTTAGAAAATACACTAAGGATCCAGATCCAAAAAAAAGACAATTCAATAAAATTCAACTTTTGAATAGTGGCCATTCTTTGAATTCTTGTGAAAGAAATCTTCATTTATAGATTAACTATCACGACACTTGCAGAGTCAAATTCTATGTTTGCTCTGGGGATCTCTTCACTCTCCTTTATCATGAAGTTATACTGAGTTGTGCTATTTGTTTTTATTTTCACATGGTAATGAAACAATTTTGAGTCATTGGCCCACTGGAAAAATCACAATAGTAACAATAAAAGTTCACGTTTGAGAAAACTTTAAAAAGTTTAAATGATGTAAAATATATTCATAATGAGTCATTTCTTTATCTGTAACACGGGAGAAGTCACGACAGTGGGCTGGTGTGAGATTCTCATGGCAATAATATACAGAAAGTGCCTGAGTGGGTGGAAGAGTGAGCCAACAGGCAGACAGAGCTGTGGTCTTGATTGTTATGGGGCAGGTGCCAACAGGCCTGCTGGAACACTCTGATCAGAACTCCATTTCTGCTGTAATAATTTCTTATTCTGAAAAAAAAAATTTTCACCTTTATGGACAGGGACTTTTGCTTTTATTTTTGGCAATTACAAGGAGCGGGGGAATGTCAGTCTACATAGTCAGGGAGAATTTTTTGCATAGAGATCTCACTAATGGAGAACATCAGGAACAAAAGTTCAAGGCAATCAGAAATATAATGCACTTTGTCTTTTGTTTTCATTATATATACACTGATGCAATGTGAATTTCTTCTGTTCATTTGTCATCCTAAAATTGGAATGACTTTGAAAAAAATGATGAAGTGTTCCTTTATACTTTACTCATTTATATACAGGTATATTATAAAACCTTTCCCATAATTTTTATGGAAGAGGTAGCAGACACATTTAAATTAATTTGATTAATTTTTTAAAATTATGTTTACTTCTCCCAAAATTCAGGAAGCTGAATTTGAATGAATCTTAATGAAACACTTTTTTTTTTAATTAGAAAAATTCACATCCCAAACTTTTGGGCTTATTTGCCTTAATTCTATCTGATTTTTGCAATTCAGAAATTCGGCCCTATAATTTTTCAGGGATGCTAGATATCAAACAGAAAACCAACTTCAGCTGCTACAACTGTGTGAAGGGGTCCTTGTAATGGACCCCTTCACAAAGTTGGCTTTTCTAACTGTATTTTTTTCTTTTTTCTTTATATATATCAGTGGAATGCATTATAATTCTTATTACATATATAGAGCACAATTTTTCATATCTCTGGTTGTATACACAGTATAGTCACACCAATTCATGTCTTCATACTTATACTTTGGACAATAATGATCATCACATTCCACCATCATTTCTAACCCCTGGCCCCTCCCTTCCCCTCCAACCCCTCTGCCCTATCTAGAGTTCATCTATTCCTTCCATGCTCCCGCTCCCTACCCCACTATGAATCAGCCTCCTTACATCAAAGAAAACATTTGGCACTTGGTCTAACTGTATTTTAGTAAAATAAAATAAATAAATAGGGGAAGGGACAAAAAGTACTCTGAACTGCAAATACTTTGAGCCAGCTTCTTAATTTGTGCTTACAAGGTGTACTGTGTAATTAACTAAATAACTTGCTTTAAGACAGTTCATGGGTGGAGTATGGGCTCTGCACAGAGAAGTCTGGAATTTATCTCTAGGCCTCACAAGGGCTTGGGGTACTCTTGGCAATTCTTTCTTTGGCCTATGACTTGTTCCTCCCCTTTGTAAGCCATGTATTTTCTATGAGTTTTTATGTTTCTTCCCTGCCCCTTCCTAAGTGACTAGAGACTGTTCTTCATCTTGGAGAACCAAAACCCACACGTGTAGGGCTGGGGACGTAGCTCAGTGATATTATGCACTCATTCTAGATTATGAACCCCAGGCCACCACTTGGAACCCATGACAGCCTAGAAAAATTTCTGCCATTCTTGATTTCTTTTGTAATATAGGAATAATACTATTTCTAAGACACTATAGTTACTTAAATGAGGTAATATATGTAAACATCTTAGCTCAACGTTTAATACATGTTAAGGGCTAGTAGCTTTTATAGAAATCTTTTGTTGTTTTGTTTGTTTGTTTACCATATCCAAAAAAACAAGAGGGCTTTTGTAAAGTGTATGGAAATATCTCCTTTCTCCTGGCCAGTGTCCTATGATGCCTGACAAGATAAATGTCAGCAAGGCCACCTCCAGTATTTGCAGGGCTTGGAGGCAAGAGTTAAATGTATGTTCACTCCCACTTTCTTCCCTCCTTCCGCTCTATCCCTTAATGCAAAATACCCCAACCTTACAAGTGTGTGTTACTCAGCTTGAATATGCAAACACTATCCAAAGGCATACCACGTTTGTCCTGCGTATAGCCACCTCTTGGCCATCTCTTAGGTCTAAGGATAGGCTACCCAGGAAGAGCCCCTTGCAGACCTGACAGTGGCTTGAGCCTTTGGTCGGGATTCCATGATGCCAGGTGCCTGGGGTGTGAGGGAGAAGAGGAAGGTGGCATGAGGAAGGTGGACTTGGTGCTTTGGAACTCTCCCCTCAGGGTGAGGCATCACTAGACAATAATGACCAGAGCAGGGTAATCCATTAGTAGTTATCAGATCCAAGCTCAGGAGCTCATCACATTGATGGTGAAAGAACCAGTTTTTAGAAGGAGATGCTTCTTTACACTCTCTCTAGACAACCTGAGCCTGTGCATCCTGTACACCCAGGGCAATGCCCTGTCCCCTCTCACTAAGGCCTGGACTTTTATCAAGAAGCCAAAGGGCTTCAGTTTTGGAAATGCCAGTCCCCTTTTGCAGCAGCCCCAACTAATGGAAATTCGCTCTGGTGCTTTGTTCTTGCTGTGGTAATGTCTGGGCTCCCTTCCAGAGCTCCTTCCAGAGCTGCAGGACAGACCTTTCTATCCCTTTCTTTTTCTAATATTTCTTTTCCCTGGAATTTGCTGGGTGGACACTAAAGTAACATAAGCAGAAACTCCAGTACTAGGGATCAGAGGAGAATCTCAAGTGCAATGGGAGGGAAAGGTCCAGGTACTGGTAACAGCATCAACCTCAGTAAGGAAACCCTTCAAGAAAGCCTCTTCCCACTTCCTGCAGCATCAACTTTAGGGCCCATCTGCTCCTTCAAAATATACAGTTACAACTACATTAGCAACTTTCTTTTCCATTGCATGTTTTGCAGATTGCTACAAAAGATTGGGGTGAAGTGTTAACTTACTGGGAATTTATTTATTTAGAAATAATTTGGCAAAGAAAACAGTTGTGGAGTATGATTCAATAACCAAACACACAAGAAAGATGGAGCACATGTGGTAAGTAGTAAAACTTCCCCTGAAAAGGAAATCAATGCCCATAGGTATAATTTGTCATTTGGAATTTGGAATCTGAGCTCTAATGCCATCCCTGGAGTATTGGTGTTTAGTGCTGGAAATGGAAGCTTTGCTTCCTTCTCTCCCGAACAGAAATATTTTGCACTGATGACCCCAAGGGCCCAATCCCCTGCTTATGACCTCACTAACTGACATGGACAATTTCTTTACAGCTGGGCTGGTCTGAGGAAGTATTCTTGTATACAAAAAGGTGTACCTGAGAAGAAAACTCAAAAGTTTTTTTTTTCCTAACAAAAAATGACATACCTGACATTTAACAAGTAGATTACAGAACGCAAATTTCTTAGTATGTTAATAGGGATTGTTATGGTCTGTGTCCCATCTTGAGTACATATGTTGAAATCTAATCCCATATGATGCATCTGGAGTTGGGGCCTTTGGGATTTGATTGGCTCATGAGGCTGGAGCCCTCATAAATGGGATTCATGTCCTGATAAAAGGAACACCAGAGAGCCCTCTCACAGTCTTTCTGCCCATATGAGTCTGTAGCCTGCATCCCAGAAGACAGTTCTTATCAGAACCCAGGCAGTCTGGCGCCCTAATAAGTATTAAACTTCCAATCTTCAGAATTCTGAGAAATAAATTTCTGTGATTTATAAATCACCCTCTCTGTGGTTGTTTGTTACGGCAGGCCAAAGATGGTACCATCCAAACAGGTTTCTACCAATAAAAAGTTTGGGAAATGTTGAATTGAAAACAAATCCAAGAATGCATGTTTCTGCTGCAGGATAGCTCAGAGCTTTTGTTAGACTTGAGTGCAATATTATTTCAAGTGACAGGCTGTAAAATGTTTTCTCAAAATAGAACATACTTTAAAAACTGCTGGTATAGATCACTTTTTATTCCTTGGTCTTTTTTTCCTATCCCCTTCCCAGTTAAATCTTTTTAATGTCTAAGAATAACATTTCTTTTAAGACACGATAATTAAATATGTTCCATGGGGGTGGAAAAGGTTGATTCATGGATATTGGGGCCCAATATTACCACAAATTATCCATTTGAGCAGGAGAACAGGAAGACATTCTGTGAAGTTTCTCATGGAAAATGAAATCTGGGGAGCTATTTCTGGCACAGGACTTATATCGTCATCTGTGTCATTTAGGTAGCACATAATTGCATAAATCAGGCAGGGACCACCCAGAGTTGCCATCTATATGCCTAATAATAAGCTTTCCCTAGGGTGTACCCCTTTGGTTTTTCTGATCATCTCTTCTAAGAGACCCATTCCTATACTTAATGGGATTGGAATTTATGGATGATTGCAATAAGTTAAGCATTTAGAACAAAACTATGGTTTTCCCACAACACTTTTTATCATTTATTCTTTTCCTTTCTTCTTTTAGTTCAACAGATCAACCAACGGCCCAGAAGAATTGATTGGTCTTCTTTAGGACATTTGAGCCTCTTGCCTTCATTAATTCAATAGACTTTCAGCCTTAAGGGGTAGTAGGTTTGATTCAGGGCAGAGGAACTGCAGAAAAATAAGGCTTGCACCTCAACTGAGATACTGGGAGTTCCTGCATATGCTCTTTCATTGAAAGGATGAAGACTCCTTTTGGTCATATGGTTATGCTGACAGAGAGTGTTATCACAGATTCTATAAATGTGGTAGTCATGTTCTCTGGATCTCAAATTGGTACACGTTATCTGGCTAAGAGATACATAGTTTTTTAACTTGTAAAATTACTTACTCTTTATAAGATATACACAATCCCATTTAGTTACACAGTAATGTAAATGACTCTATTAGAGAAAATTAAAGGAAATAAATATTTTTAAAATCATAAGTGTCCTAAGAAATCTGAAGTAGATGGTCAATATATGAGATTCCATGATGTATTTAGATTATAGAATCAACCATAAGAATATATGCTATTATATGTGTGTGTGTACACACACATTTCTCTTTTATGAACTAAGATGATGATGATGATGATGATGATGATGATGACGACGATTTTTCACTGTGCTGGGGACTGAACTCAGGGCTTTGTACATGCTAAGTAAGCGCTCCACCACTGAACCACATCCTCAGCCCTGCCACAGTTTTTAAAGGAAGATTTACCACTCAATTTGCATCAGTGAATGAAGCTTCAAGGTTTGTTGTGGTTGTTGTTTTGTTTTGTTTTATTTCTCCTCCAATGTGGTAGTATTTTCACCCCGACACATCATATGCATCGGAGTCATGGGACTCTCACTGATGACCCACCGAATCTAAAATTCAAATCTCTCATTTCCTATGTTATTTGGAATTATTACCTCAGTTGCTTTGTCTAGTTCTGGTTTATTTTAAGGTAAATAGGTGAGCATAAATGCATACCACCTTTTCAGGAGGGGCAGAGTGTTTGCTATGAAATTCCCTCCCTCTGGTCCTGTATTTGGGTCAGAGTTTGGTTGCAGTTGGACAGATCAGGGTAGTTGAACCTGGTATTAAAATCTTGGCAGAGCAGATCTGTGGGCCTCTACACTCTATCTTTCCCTGCTTCACTCTATCCAGAGTAAAACTCTATCCAGAGTAAAACTTTATCCAGAGTAAAACTCATAAGTTTGTAAAACTTTCGTCCCCCAGTCCCATGTTTTAGTCAGCTTTATTGTTGCTGTGACCAAAATACCCAACAAGAACAAGTTTATAGGAGGAAAAGTGTATTTGGTGCTCCGGGTTTCAGAAGTCCAGACCATATTGGTTGACACCGTTGCTTTAGCTCTAGGAGCAATGGGCCACGCAGATGCCCACACAGCTTCTGTATGGAGGATGAAAGCAGCTCAGGACATGGCAATCAGGAAACAGAGAGAGAGAGAGAGAGCTGTGCTCACTCCAGATACCATATAAAACCCAAAAGCACATCCCCAGTCACCTATGGAGATAGGTCACACCCTACCAGCCACACAAGCTTCCTACACTTACCAACCAGTTTAATCCATATCAGTGGATTAGTCTACCAATTAGGTTACAGTTCTCATAATCTAATCATTTTACCTCTGAAAATTCTTGCATTGTCACACACATGAGTTCCAGGGGAGCTCCACACAGTCAAACCATTACACCCCACGAGAAATTTTTGTTATCCTTGCTCTTTAGATGACTATTAACTCACTTCCTTAAGCCTTTTAGTGTTTACTTCACTAAGGGAAAGTGCTGAGTCTGAAAATATGGAAACTTTCCATTTCTACTATACTTTTTCCTAAACCCATTACAGAATGCTTAAGCAAAGTTTCTCTAAAACATTTTTTTTTTTTCATGGAGAGAGAGACCCACACCGGGCTTTTATGTCTTATCCAGCTGAATTCTGGTAAATGCTTAGCAAGTACTTGTTGCTGATTTCTGTGGTGTAAATGCTGCCACCATGACTTATTTTGTAACCAATGTATCAGCACCAAGAGCAGAGTTTGGAAGAGATGGACATAATTGGTTCTCTTAAGCCAGATTTCTACCCAATACTGAGTCTACACCTCTAGACCACTGGTTCCCAGATTTTTGGTGTGAATCACTAGTACTGCTATTAAAAGGTTTATTCAAAATCTCTATGACTGAGGCCAGAGCATCTGAATTCCTGTGTGGTCCTGATACTGTACTTTGAGCTTCACGTCCTATGTTTATTCCTATATGAGGCTTGTCCTGTATATGTAGTATTGCCGTTTCAGATCAAGAACTCTAAATGTTTTCTAACACCATCAAATCTACTGAGCTATCATTAAAATAGACTAAATTTACTAAGATGTAATTAAAATAGGATCTAATGTTCAAGATGAATAATGATCATCATACTCACTTTTATATAATAGTCTATATTCAGCTCATTACTTTTCATTATACTGAATGTAAAATGTGCAACGGAAAGCCAAATTCCATATATTTTAGAAATTAGATGAAATCTTTATGAAGCACATAGCTCATCTTAAAGTAGCGAGAGTATTTGCATCATATGTTTTCTTTATAAAAATATGATACGCATGACAGCTTTCTTTGTTTCACCATCAGTTTTCTTCCAATAGGATTGTGCCAAGTGTGCCGTGAATATAATGATTTGTTTATGATGAAAAAAAAAAAAAGAGTCAAGTAAATGTACCAACTTCCTCTGAAAATGTTTGGGTTATTTCAAAAAATGTTTTGTGCCATTGGTTTGATCCTCTGCAGTGAATGAGTATCATTGGAGATGATTTCACTGCCTTCAAGCTAATATTTTTCTGAAGTCTACATTTTCTCCTCAGATATCTACCAGGACATATTCCCTACTCATAGGTGCTTACAATTGAACTGGGGTTTTAAGAATTCCTTCTATCAACAATTAGAAAAGGATATAAGAGGAATTCGAAACTGTGGCTGGTATTGATTTTTGCATGTATTTTCTAGATTGTTTGATGGTAGAGACAGAGGAGTAAATAATCACCACAGAGTGTGACAAATGCTAGGAGACAGGGACTAAGGTTTCCCTGATGACTCAGGACAGTTTCACAAAGGAGGAGAGCTGAGACTTAGGGATAATCAGAAGCTGAAAGGCAGAGGAGGAGGGGCCTTCCAGACAGGAATGAAACTTAGGCAGCCTGCTCAAGAATAGAGAATTTCAAACTGTTCATCTGATTAAGTGTTATCCAACTCTGTGCCCAGAACTGTGTTTGGCCCTTGGGAAGGAGCATGAGTGGCACAGCCCCTGCCTGCAAACTATTTATGGGCCATTTAGGTGCCTACAACTAGCAAATAATAGAGAAAGAAAGGGGGAACTATCACAACCAAATGCCACCGAGCTTACAGATATCGGGTGATGTGGGGTATTGTGAAAGGTACAACAGATGAGGCTGAAGCACTTATGAAAGTCCTGGTTCAAGGTACTCAGCAGCCAAGCAAGCAGCTTTTAAACAGAGGTAGGACAGAACATGTTGCATGGAAACAGGAAGAAAATCTGTGACCAGAATAGAGAATGCTGGTGATCCTGGGGAGGGCGCTGTGGGAGGCCAGTTCAGAGTCCTCATTCCCTTTGGGGAACATGGAAAAAAACAAAAAAACAAAAAAGATCCTTTTGAACTTTTAGGTTTTTTTTTAACCATGGAATGGAGAAAGTACTACTTAACTCAGATACTTGAGAGGACAAGTGAGGCAACTCATGTGGAAGTGGAATGTAAACTACAGTGTGCTACAAACGACATGGGTCATTGTTAATAAATGCGATTGTGGAATGCTGGATTGCTTCGAAGAAGCCACTGCTCCATGCCTGTGTGTTTAGGACCTCGTGGGTGGTATTTTTTTCAGCCTGAGGATATATGTTGTACCGAATTTAGATTTTCCCACTCAGATGAACAACCTTGGAACCAAACATGTCAGATTAAATAAACCTATATATATGTAAAAAGAAAAGTTTGATCTGATTTCCAGTTTATTGTATTTATTTTTCCACATTTTAATTGATGCATTGTAGCTGTACATAATGATGGGATTTGCTATTACATATTTACATATGCACACAATATAGTTATATAAATTGGCTATAAATTGGCTAATGTCTTTCCCAGTACAGTTTATTTAAGTGACAAATTCTCAGCAACTTTAAATAAATAATTGTTAATGCTGTAGTGAATTTGTGTGGTGTATATGTGTGTGCTTTCTTAATTGGGTCGTACTCCTCAAGAAAAAAAATGCATTTATGTATTGTAAGCAGCAAAAACGTGCTTTATTCAAACTGAAAAAGTATTAACTCCTGATATGAACACTGAAGGTACTTTTAGGAAACATTGTTTTGAATGAAAACAGTGCTGTTAAAGAAGCTCTTGATGAGCTGATTTACCCATCAAATAAAACCTAAGCAGCTAAGGAGCCTGGTTGTAGGACCAGGGCTCTACAAGGATTCTACTGGCCATTCTCCCATCCTGCCACCTAGCTATGCCCATTAAAGTGACATAAATACAATAAACACTATTTAAAAGCTCTTTCTTTTGCATATCAGAACATTTAAAAAAGAAAAATATATATTTTACAAAAGCAGTTTCCTATATATTTGCATAAGAAGAGAGTGTCCCAAACAGATTTCAGTTATTTTCTTTGGAAAGTTGTGTTCTTTTTTGCACAGAAACTTCAGAAAGGCTCTCTCACCCTAGTTCTGACGTTTTCACCGTTTGTAGGAAGCCACAAAAGTGAAGTCATTAGCTTGTTGCACAGAGCTCCTGGGGGCCCTTGTGTCTATTTTGGGTCCCGCATCTGTTCAGCACATGAGGACTGATTGCACTTCACTTTTGAAATTTAGTTTCATTGCATTTCTTGGTAGAACCACCCACTTGGATCTGGCAAATTGCATATTACTGAATTTCTCACCATCATGTTTTCCCTACAACACATCTGGAATAAACATAGATTTAAAAATATAAATGTGAATTATATTTCTGTATTTGAGAAAAGAAAAAAAAAACTTAGTAGACGACTATCACTTTTCATTCCAAATTACTCAAAAGCTCAAAATACTTCTCAAATATGGCTGCACATATTTGAAAACAATATGGTAAGCAAATGATAGTGGCCATATTCCAAAAAAATTTATTTATAAAATCAGTTGGTGGGCTATAGTTGGCTTCCAAGGCCATAGTTTCCTGATTTGTGTATTTGAGGTGATCATGTTTGCATCTTTTTTAGTTTGGGGAAAAGAACTTCAAGTCTTAAATACTGTTGACCATAATTCTTTATAATCCAAATTTCAAACCAAAGCTAAAGGTTTTATTAATTCTCAAGACTCAGCAGAATATTTAAGTTAGTGGAATGGGTAAATCAATGTGGAGGAAGAAAATGTAGACATTTGAAAACATTATTTTAGAAGTTCTTTTTGATTGACCATCTTACAAGTCTTAGATCTAATTATCTCTAGAAATAAGCTAGTATGGGGTGCAACTTTCTTCTGATGGGCATTACATGTCAGAATCTCTTTGGTCAGTTCTTATTTTCTTGCATCTTAGGAATTGTAAAGAGACGTTCTTGATAACCTCACATGCTTTGTGAGGCATCTTGTACACTGTGCATAGAACTCCTTCCCCTCCCATAGCCGGACAGTCCTTGCGGTACCTGTGGTTGGGTTTCTGGATTTTTGACAGCTGCTCATCCATGTGAGATGCTAGTTTGGAAGAGAACCTTCCCATCTAACTAAGTGTGCCAGTAGCAGGGGGGCTGAGAACTGGTGCAACCAGAAGAGCTTGCCCTTTACTGGGGAGTCATTAAGGCCTTAAAAGTCAGAGAGGGTCAAGACTTTAATTACCTTTTTTCTTCTGAAACATTTCTCTATGATAATCTTTGACTGTTAGTTGTGCCAACCCAAGCTATTTTAATCTGTATAGCTCATTATTTTTATCTTTCTTATTATCTTAGATTAATTTATTCTATCATTTGCAGTAGCTTTAAGGTAGAAAATAAGTTTTTTCCCCCTTATTTCTATTCTCATTTCTGTTACTTAACATATACATGTTTAATCCATTTCCAATATTCTTGGACCATTTCTTTTTAAATTTTCCTATATAAAACACACACACACTCACAGAGACACACCCA